CTGCTCTATTATTCTCTTATTATCATGCTAACAGTTCCAATCTAGCTGTGCTAATTAGGGGACTTACACATTCTCTTTAACAATGTCTATTTCTGTGCCTTTTTTTTTTGCCAGTGCATTAATAAGAGTCTCACACTGAGAAAATAATTTGTGCCGGGGAGACAACAAAAGCAACTGAGAAAACACAAATTAGCGCTATTATCTTTGTGCAATTACCATACAGCCCTGTGTTTATTTAAACTCATCTGATTGATTTAAAATATTTACCATAATGTTAGTTTTGGAGTCTTTGCTTCTCTAAATTGGTAACCAAACAGAATCAGTGCATTCAATTACTGTATTGGATTGGATAGCATGCATTTTCCATTTTTTCACAACAAAGAAGTGATTACAGAACAGAATTACTAAAAGCCAATTTATCATACAGGCCAAACACCAATTTGACAGAATTTTTTTTGTTCATGCTGGGAGATCTGGGTAGATAACCATTTGATCAGCAGAGAAAAGTTGAATACGTAGCTAAAAAGCTTTACATAGAAATGGTGACTAGTCTGCTGCAGGACATAATGCAGAGGAATCAGGCTGTGTAGGGCTTGTGAGGAAACAGATAATACAGTCTGATACAGGCCAATTATTAGGGGGCAACAGCTTCTCAGTGACAAAGATCTTACATTGACTTTTGGTGCAATCTGAAGCAACAGCCATCATTAAAAATACAAAAAAAGAGAAACCCAGCGTGTTTTAAGTAGGCAGACTCTACAGCCACTGAATATAAAAGACACTTTAACAGAACTTCCCCTGTGACTTATCCGGTTTCTTTGTAACAGACGGAAATGGAAAATCCATGTGCAACTGACTCTTCTAAAAATATATTAACTCAAAGTAAACAACAGCATGTAAGATCAATTTGTCTGTATTACAACGGAAGTAGTGTTAAAGAAAACAAGGACCTGTGAAGAATTACTATATCCTTGTTCTATCAGACCACGTCGGTCTCAGTATCCGCTGTCCTGTGTCTCATCTCAAAACATATGATCCAGTGCTTGATTGTCCACCTTTAAAAGCTAAATGCTGGTTAAATTAAAGACCTTTAGCATTTTACCATCGAACGTCTGCATACCCCTGACTGTTTATTTACACCATTAAAGACACGTGATAAAGCTTCTGAGACTTTGAAGTATAGGGTGGACAACAATATACTGGCCCTGTCTCTTTTAACCTCAGGTTTCTCTTTTTAAATGGAAGGGATACACACATTCTGTCTTTGTGGACACAAGGTTAAAGGTAGGCTGCAGTGGCACAGATAGTGTGTGTACTGTTCATACAGTGAGGTTGGAATTTGAAGCTAGGCCATGTATAGGAAGAGAACGAAAGGTTAAAGGGACATAAATACAGCCAGACCTCCTTGATGAACAGATCATTTAAGTTTTCAAAAGCAGTTGTGTAAACAACATGGTATACAATGGCGCCCATAGAAATGGATTATCTCTCAGATCCTGGATCTCACAGTGTCACGGTTGGCACATGCCACAGCCAATGACAAATGACAATGTCATGATATTGTGATATTTTTATTGGATAAACACTTTAAATGAAATGATTTAGATTAAAAGTGCCCCACTGTTTCATCAGGGGAGCTCAGTTTCCTCCAGCCTGTTTGTGAAGATAAAGTTCACCCTGACCTTTCCGCCAATATTTATTCTCTTGATGTGTGCATCAATGCGTGGGTCCCTGTGTGCCTGTGCACTGTACACGATTGCCTCTGTGCATGTGTATGAGTACGTGCGTGTGAGACACAAACCATGGTTTGTGTCTTTACAGACCCATCCTTGAGGAATGCATGAACTGGGGTCATTAAAATGTGAAAGGTGAGGAGATGGGTGGTCACTGCATGGCTATGGACACTACCGTCTCTTGAGTTACTTGGAGCTCCACATCTCATGAGGGCATTTTATTTTATTTTGTGACCAAAGAGACTTTATTGTCATATTCTGTCATTTCCACTTTACTACTGCTCATGTGTATTGCCTTTAACTCTCATGTACTGTAACAAGGAAGCGCATTTGAAAGAAAATGCCAGACAACAGAGTGAACACCCTGATGATCAACATGCTGCTGTTTAACTGTTTATCTGCTGCGACTGCTCATCCATTAGGAGCAGGAGAACGTGGGAGTGACTATGAAACGGAAAGAGTCAAAAACAGAACAGCGTGCTCATTATTTCTTAATCTATCGGTAATCTCCCAGTCCCTACACACAGACTCAGAGACTTAAGAAACGTATGAGATAAACCAGGTCTCTGCTAATATATATGTTTAATTGTCACACGTGTCTTGGTGGTGTTTCAACTAAATCAAGAGTTAATCTCATCCTGAGATTGAATTAGTGCCAAGATGATTTCAACGATGAGGATGGACTGAAGGAATACAAACAAGCTGATGGAAAAACACACAAAGCCTTGAAGCTTTAACTTTTGATAAGCCCCTAAAACTGCAATCATCTGTTATCTTAAAACAAGTGACATTGTAATCCCGAAGGACAAAGACTAAATCTCTATCCTTCTCTTGTAGGAATGATGGGAAAGGATAAAAAGAGAGATGGCTATTCAAAGGGGAAACTTGATTAAACTGCAGTCTGCCTTCCTCACTAACTAAACCTCTATAACTACACACGTCTTACAGATTCCCTCCAATCCACATGAAAAAAAGCCCCTTGAAATAACACATATAGTGTGCCAACAACAATCTCCACTTGCAGTCCCCACGGTTTCATTGTTTGGGCAGTTTACAATGTCCACTGATGTGATTAGTTACATTATCAATACAAGACCTTAGCTTAGGCTCTCTCTTGGTTTCCTCCCTGAAATCAAAACAGAAGGACTTTGATGGCCAGTGGGGTCTCCAATAAAGTTTAGTGCTCTCCATTCCAACAGCAGAGTAACTCAATCCCTCAACACTGCTTCCCACTTTACTAAAAGTCTGTAACATGCAGGCTGGAGGCTTGTTTACAGAACTAATTAAGTCAAAGCTGTTATATATTAAAATGGCCGGGGCATTTTTAAGAGGCAGCAGTAATGAAAACAGAGTGGCAAAAATGCTTGACTAACTTGCCCCTGACTCTCTTTTATCTACTGTCTTTCCTACTCTGACTTGAGAGGAGGGGCCGTCACCACACTGGATATTTGGAGGAACTAGGTTAGGGAGAAAGAACATGTTCTGCTTTAAAGGACTTGCTGATAAACAATGTTGCACGATCAAACTTATTTGAAGTATTGAGAGTGACTCCTGTTTGTTCTCGGTAGGTGTTCTGTCTGCTTCGTGCAGCCAGCCAAGGCTGCTGGGCAGTGGAATGGATGGTCCGTCCATGGGACTCTTTTGTTTAATTGTGGATGTGGCTTTTTCTTTTAATCAGGGAAGATCTGTGGCACATTTGGTCAAGGGAGAAGCTGGCTAACTGGGCTCTACCAGAAAGGACTCTACTTGTATCTCTGTTCAAGTGTTTGAAATGGATATTTAGAAGTACATTCCCATGCACACTCAACTCCCCACCCTCTCTCAAAACTATGCATCAAGGAGAATTTTCAGGTATCATTTGCCTTTAACTTTGTGATGAAAGCAAGAGCCTTTAAAAGTGAGATGCATTAGGGCTGTGCCCTTATGCTCAATGAGCATAAGTGAAGGGCCATCCATAATATGAGTATACTAGTCCCTCAGTAGTGTATAAGGTACTTCATTTTAGAGTGTTTTCTAGACAGAGTGTCGTGCTCTGTGCTTCTCTCCAGTGGAATTTTCTAATAGACTGTCCACTGTTGAAGTGCAAGGTCCAGACGTGTGGCTTCACAAGAACATATTGACTGTATGGCCTTTCTCTTGCAAAGAGCTCTTGGAAGAGGCATGTTGATGTCCTGGCAGTAGATCTGTCTGTTGCGCGAACTGATGTTTAAAACCAGAAGTTTGCTTTGCCTTAGTGTATCATGAGAACAACCTGTGTTAGATTCCCCATAGATAGAAACTGCTTTTTAGAAAATAAAATAGTATGTCTTGGGAGGAGTGCTAAAAGGTGCTGGAGGAACAATTTGTTGCAAGTAAACGAAAGAACAAGACAGGGAGTTGTCAGTAAGAAGAACAAGGAGTGGAGGAGGAGGTGAATGGAGAAGGATGTGCCTGACACCAAGCACACCCAGCAGGATAACGTTAGCTCCACACGGGTAGTAAGACTCACAGCCTTGACCGCTGCCAGTGACCAGCTCTGGATAACCCTGGACTGTCTGACCATGTCTGGGTGGTCTTTCACTACACAACTCTGCACTGTATCACACTATTAGGCACAGGCAGACATGCACACACACACGAAGGCCATTGATAATGTCTGGCATAAGATGCATGGGTGAAAATCTAGAGCAACACATAAATGTAGGAACTACAGTAGGAGAAAAAAAAAGCACAATGTCAGGCACTCAGCATAATGGCAATGTAAGTTTCAGTATTGTGCTTTGTGAAAGCATACCACATTGCCCTTCTGGGACCAACTTGCTTCAGAGGCATTTACCAGCCTCTTTCATGTCCCCCACCACCTCCAGGCTCTTCTCCATCAACAGGACTCATTAGCTGCTGCTGCCCCCCCCCACCCCCCACCCCTCCCCCTCGCTTTTTTTTGTTCGTTAAGATGTGCTAATTATTCTCCTCCATATTTTAAAGCCCTCCCAAATTACCAACAGGCAATTAACATTTGATGAGAGTGATGAATGTTAGTGTGACACAAAAATTAAATCTAAAAAGACAAGACTTTTTTTTAAAAGTAAATATCATTGCTAACAGAAGTTAGCAATGATATTTACTTTAATGTCTAATTCTATTGATCCGTGCCATTAAATCCAGACATGTGGTTCGCCGTGACAGCGGTGGTGCATCAGTTACACAGTGGTGTAATCAGCGTAGAAGGAGTGAGAGATGTAAGCTGCTGCCGAGTGTTAGAGGGCCAACAGACACACATTCACTGACCTGGATCTGTTGTTGGAGGAGGTTGATTTTGTGCTGCTGCTGCAGAAGCTGCTGCTGTTGTCTTGCAATCTGGTTGGAAACAGAAGTAAAGAAATGAAATAATTCCTGGTTCAAACTAACAAAGAGAATAAGGAACTAAAATCATGTGATCAGCCTACTTTTTTGTTTTTTCGAGACAACATTATATATATATGTGCTGCAACTGCAGGTACAACGCCAGAGATACTGCTCTTAAATGCTATCCAGGCCATTAGAATATGTTAAAATAGTGGTTACAATGAAAATGAAAATAATAAAGGTGAGAAAGCAGCAGATTAATATGGGACAATAATATAACATTTATTTTCATAGAAAAACTGTGGTTTTATAATGAAATTGCTGCAAAATCTGACAAAACATATTTTCAATTTCCAAATGAACATGACATGACCTGTGCTGAACTGCACAGTCAACATTAGTGGTAAAAGAGAATAAATGATTTACAGGACAGACGGTTATGGTTATGATGGAGATAACTGGTGCAGGCAGTGAACGGGTGGCAGACGTCCCTGTCGCCCCTGAGTGACGAGTAGCCACACCGCAATCCTTCTAATCCCAGCAGTCCCCTCGCTCTACATGCCCACTTCATTGAGCATGACAACCTAGTTTTAAGTGTCATTTAATTTTCATTTTTAAATATAATTACAAAGTGTTCACTGTAAGATATTGGTCGTCTGCAAATGTGTCAAGATTAATTTGTGCTGGCTTCCTCACGAGTGTCAACAGTTAATTACTGTGTTGTATCTTGATGGCTTGATGACATTCTGGCTCTCAGCTGGCTCCCTCTCTCTCTGTCTCTCGCCCCCTCTCTCTTTTCCATTTTATTAATATTCTTCCATTTTAAAATAAGATCAAATAATAACATATCTTATATCACTGTTCATTTATGCTGCAATGTCCACAAAGCCTACAGAGTTGAGTGTAGTTTGCAAATGAACATCATTGATTGAAAAAGGAATCAATACTGTTAATGTATTATTAGTGTACTATGACGAAATGCATCACTCCAAGGTATATGGTCTATCTCTTCATTTACCACAGGAAGGTCTGAGAGTGTGTGGGGAAAACTCTGAGTGAACTCCTTGCTGATAATTGACTCATAGCCATTAGGGGGGCTAGTGATAATAAAAGTGTCGCCCGTGTGGATAGTTTGTGTCCTTATTTCTTCCCAGACATTAACACACTTCATGGCCTCTGCTAATTTGCTGATTTGTACAATATGGCTCATTGGCCTGATTCATGCTGCAAATCTAATGCCAGGCTTGTTCTAATAGGAGTCGATTTATAAGATATAGAGGACTTCCATGTTTAATATAACGTTTAATTCGCACATTCCCTCGCATTTGTTAGTACAAGTCATAATAACATTTTCCTACCACGCAGCATAAATGTGAGCGAGAGAGCATGACCGAAATATCTGAGGTAATATAGAATATATCATCTCTTAAATCTAACATTCTTCGAAATTCCTACCGAGGAGTAAGATTTTATTAGCATTTCAGGCATGAAATTTAATATGAAATAGAGAGAAGTGACAGTTTGTTAAAAATGCATTTAATGGGGTTTATTATAGACACAACATGGGGAAATACGGTAAACAAGATTAAAGTAGCAAAGGGAATGATTGAGACAGACAAAGAAAGAAAGAAAGAAAGAAAAGAAAGAAAAAAAGAAAAGAAAGAAAGAACTATTACCTGAGGTGCAAAATGAGACACGGTGAGTGTGAGAAAAGGAAACAGTGAGCAGTTACCTGCTCCTGCTGCTGACGAGCTAGCTCCATTTGCTGCCTCTGTTTCTCCATCTGTGAGGCGGCGAGCTTCTTCTGTTCGTCGTGGGCTGCCAGTAGCTGCTCTCGCAGGCTGATCAGCTGGGTGATCATTGTGGAGAGCTGGTGTTCCTTTTCTGCCAGGCTTTCTGGAGTACCTAGTGAGGAAATAGAGAGTGAGAGCGATGTTAGAAGTGGAAAGGATAAACAAGCACAAGGTGGAGAGCCTGAGTCATAAACATAGATACAGGTATGTGGTATGTATACCAGAAAGAAAGAAAGACACAAAAGGTCTCATAGTGTCCATGACTAAATAATAGGGTGGATGCTTTTGTACAAAAAAAAATAAATAAAAAATAACCTGCAGAAGGCCTTGGTCATAATACACTAAATATAGAAAAGGGACCATGCTGCACATGCCGATCATCATATTGTGCTATAGTACTGAACACAATATAGCGTACAAAGAAAACCACACAGGCAGCAACCAACTGCAGTGAATTCACTAGAAAGTGTTAAGGTCACACACAGCCTGGAGTTATCTATTTACTGTAGCTGGTGTTCACAGCATTCACCGGAAGAAAGGGAAGGAATTGTTCCCGGCATGTAGACCAAGAGCTGCAGGGAGCTGTCAAACTGAGGTGGCAGCTTATGTCAGAGGGGTGAACATAAAGAAAGTGTTGAGAGTTAGTGTTAGCCTCAAAACTACAAAAGTGTTTCATTATACGGCCATTCCATCAACCTATTATTGGAGTAACTCCTTACAGACTACCGAAAGATTGGTTCGAACTTGTGAAAAACCTGCACCAGAAAAACAACAATGTTTACACACCACAAATATGCTCTTAATATGACAATAGGCAATCATCGGTAAAGGGAAAACTGAACAATACACTATATTTTATTATCTGTGTAGCTACTGTATGCATACTTGAAAAATCAAAGCAATGACAGACCAATAGGCTTATTTCTCCCTCTACAGTCACATGTCCGCACTGTGTGTGATAGAGAGAGTGGCTCCGCTGCACTGCTCTCTCGCTCCGCCTAATCAATGCTAAGTGATCCTACCATTGACTTACACCGCCAACATAATTGCCAGTGAGAGGCTAGACAGTAACTCACTCTCCTCCCACTGCACTCCCGTGTGACAAGCTGATCCTGGAGAACAGGAAAAAAAGAGATGGGGAAACCGACAGATGAGACAGAGAGAAGGAGAGACAGCATTGAGAGAGAAGGATAAAAGCATAGAGATCCAGATAACAGTACAGTGAAGGCTAGCCTGGGGCCAGCGGGAGCTGAATTCTTTCCTGGGTGTCTTCCTCTCGTCTCTGGCCACATCTGTCTTGAGTTTCTCCGAGAGCTCCCAGGGGCCCTCTCCACTCAAACTATTTTAATTTGACTAAACACCTGATTTATTTTATCTCTCCGATGAGGAAAGCCGTTTGTCTTAATAGGGCTTGTCAACCTCCAGAACCCATTCAGGGCAATTTACTGGCAGGCTTGTCTGAACCTCGGTTCGCCTCGCTCTGCCTCCGCTGCCTGCTGCAATGGAAGAGAGCTGCAATTCTCCATTTATCCTCCGAACGGAAAAAAAAAAAGCACCTAAAAGCAGCTATTCATCGGGCATGTGTGCAGTTTCCAAGGCCTGAATTGACTTCTTATTCACCCGACTACACTTGTTGTGAATGGCTTAGCTGTAAAATTGATACAATCAGCACCAATTTTATTAACCTTTGGCTGTGTCCATGAAGGACCTGCCTTTTACAGGTCACTAGCCGGATACATCAGTCGTTGTCACAATAAATCACAGCTATCAATACCGTGATGGGGAGGAAGGAGGGACTAAAGAAGGAGATGAAGAAAGACAGAAAGAAAGAAAAGAAAGAGAAAATCATGATCCAGATGATGATGACGGCCATCAGGCCTCGAGACCTTGATGACCTTGAGTTGGGAACCAAACACCTGGACTCAATGACGCCCGCTCTCAGCCTGCCTAATTACACATTTTTGATGATCCCTCACTAGTTTAGGAGTGTCATAAAACACAAAATTGCAAAACATGTAATAACTGGAAGGTACAGCACATACATTTTGTGTTTGTGTGCATGAATGTGCAGGGGGACTGGTGCTGAGGGTCCACAGAAGGATCGGATGGAGTGTGGAGAGCTCAGTTCTGCCCGGACACCAAAAGAATACTAACAGAGAACCCATTGTTTTGATGTTGAGCTAAATTGGGGGAAATCTAAACTGCCCTCTGTACAGCTATTTGGGCCTTCCGTTTTGCTAAACTTAATCCTAATTATTAAACAGATTTATAATCATATCAGTATAATTCAGATTATTGGTGAATGCTGAATACGTAAAATCGTAACATCTAAAACACTGTGGAAGAATTTCACTTTCGAGGCTGTAGAAAATCAGGCGCATATGGTTTTTGTTCGGTGGTTAGTGTTAAAAATCTCTTTCTTCCTGCTTTAAATTATGGATCAGCTTTAAAATGCAGATAAAACTTTTATTGGGTGGTGCAGAAGAGGAGAGTTGTGGTCTGTGTCTGACCAACCTGCTGACAAAAGAGGCCGTTTCCTGCATATTGCATGGCTTTTAACAGCGGTGGGGCTAGCGTCTGCCTGTTAACATGTCTCCTCACATTGAGCTTCCGATGGCAGACAGACAGCCCAGAGATGCCTTGGCTCTACATAAACCCCAGCAGTCGGCCCAGACCTAACATGTTGTGACATCTTCCTGTTAGACGACTGAAGTCGAGTAGGACAATACCAGCCTGACTCAGGAGGAGGATCTCAGGAGTAAGCAGTCAAGTTGTGCTGGCACTTTTCGTGTTTTGTTTTTTCTCTTAGGCCACTGTGTTCACTTCAGAGATGCTAGATTGGCACATAGAAGGAGGAGACGTAAAGCTGTGTTGTTCAGTTTCAGCGCTTTCAGCATTCACCTTTTGAGATTTCTGCCTCTTTTAAACGTCACAAAGTAGGGCAGAAAACATCAGCGACGGGTGACTAAATAAATGATAAGAGGGAAACAAGCAGAGCCATGGTTGCTTGGGGAGGGATGGGGGTATTTAAGCCTTGGGGTCTTTGGATAAAAGGCACTTTGTAGGGGTGCGATTTGTTCTGTCCAATACCCACATCTCCCTCTCTCTTGGCTCCCTCCTCTCTGCTCTAATCAAGCAGTCTCTAATTTGGGTTCCAAGTCCAGTACCGGGGAAAAAGAAGGAGGCTTGTTACTTTGAAGAGTCCCGAGTGAATAACACAGATAAAAGATTCAGGCACAAAAAAAGAAGAAAAGCGAGGGAGGGTGAGGGTGAAAAGGGGGAAAATCACAAGGCACCCTATTCTCTTCCCTTCCTTTGGTTAAGACAGCTGAGTCATTATGACCAGATCTGAATTGAGTTTTTTAACGCCAGAAGACTGGAATTTCTTTGTCTCTCTATCAGTCAGCTATTGTGGATGCTTCCATATGCTGCAAGCCCATCTTAAGTAAATTAAGACTTGTCTAAATGCTCCGATTGTACCAAGCTGTATCCACAGACCGCACATAACTTGAATGCCTTGTGTGCTTAGGCGCGCTCTCTCTCTCTCTCTCTCTGCTCTCTCCTAAAGTGTGTGTGAAAGTAGACATGAGAGTGTACAGATGTGTGTTACGTGCTGTTCCAATCGATAAAAGGTACATGCCTCTGAGTAAATGCACACGTGTGTAAACTCTGCAGTCATCTGACCCTTTGTCCATTATTTCAGTGCAAAACACAAAGAGTCAATTGAGTCTATTGGTACCTCCTTTAGTGTTCAAAATAGAAAGATTTTTTCTGCTAACAGACCTTTCTTCAAACCTGCAACAAAAGCATGAAGCACAAGCCAATCTTCTTACCAAATCCACTTTTGTGATATTGATTATAACTTAAATATTTTGGTCCGAAAAATGTATCGTATTGAGGATCTAGACTGGTAGAAAAACAAGCTAGAACAATAAGAGCTAGTTTTATGGTATCTCTCTGCAGTGCTACAAGGCCATATGTAGCAGTAATACCAGTAATATGGTGTCAACGCGCCTCCATGCCCTACAACCAAGACAATATGAGCACCAGCCGTTTTACCTGGCTTGCTGCCTTTGCCATGATATAAAAGCAATTAATCTTGCCAATAAAACCTCATTAACAAGCATGAGCAATGACTCACGAGCACATGTCATCCACTGGCAGCAATGATTCTCAGTCCCTGTGCTCTCCTATGGTTTGAACATAAAGACTTATTCACCCATCATCTTGTTAAAAAACATCAGATCTTCTCACATTTTTAAAACCACCTTTGTGCTTGAGACATAGAACAGCTTTTTTACTTGTAAATGGAAGTCTGGTACGAGTATATATATATATATATATATATATATGCGTGTGCACATGTATTTCAGTATGGAAATATATGATTTTAAGACAGTTTTACAGAATCAAAATAATTTAAAAGGCTCAGCACACAATTTTTTAAAAAAATACTCTGATTGGCATCTGGAGAGGTTATTAATAAAAACACACTTCATCTACTGTGGTTTTGCTGTTCATGGCTTACACTGATGGAGACTAATATTTTGATGATAGAGGAAGCCTCACTCTTCAGTATAATTATGCTAATATTAAAGCTCCAGCACTTCACTTTCTACCCATGACACTGGACAAGGTACTTCATCAAAGCCAAGATAGAGGCTCGACCTGAACATATTACTCCACAGGGAATGCCACTGACCCTGAAATTCACTCTGAAGACAAAAAAATAACTCGGAACAGAAACTTTTCTTCTAGTCTTTCAATAAATTGAATACATCATTCTTTGACTCTATAATACAGTGCGACAAACCAGAGATCCTGTTATCGTGCAGGGTGTTGTATGTATGCAAGGCAGTCTATAGCAAAGATTACACGAAAACAAAGTTTGTCTCAGTCCTTCTATTCATCTCTAATAGCCTTCATGGTGATGAGTCTGACCCCCGTGCCCCTAAAATAGAATCATTTTCAAGGGTTCTCTCATGCAAAGTGCTTAAAGCCTGCAAGACAGTGATCAAGGCAACAGCTTACTGTCTGCAAAACCTTGAAAGTGAATTAGGAGTTAGATGTTATCTCATTCTTTTCACAGAACATGTATTCATTGGTCTTACCTAGCAGCTGATAATTAAAGAAGAATGCAGCCACATTGGCAATAGCCAGCGAACTACAGAATGCGTTTTGCCAATGACTAACGTTAACAGTAACAAAATGTGGTTTTGCTTGTACATATATGTATACATATATATATGTACAAATTAGTAACAGGCAACTCGGAAACCTGTAAACACTATGCAGTTACCGTCTTTTTCTGTTTACATTGAAATTTGAAATATCCCTCCTTTTCAACACTACTGGCACGCTCAGCAAGACGACCAATAAAAGTTATCATGTATGTTGCAACAAGTGCAAAGGCTCCAGAAGTTGTTGCTGCCCTCCCTGGTTTCTGGAGTCTGGTTTTGTGCCTGCCTGCTGAACATTGCATGCACCTTTCGGGAGTGCAAACAGATATAGCGAAAACTACCCGTCACGACAAGTTATTGAGAAAATAAAAATAGGAGAAAATAAAATTAGTGGCATAAAAGATGAGATTTTTTTGAAATAAAAATCTGAAAACCTCTCTCGTCTTGCATGCACTTTTGAGAAGAACCCTAAAATTCGGATGTTTGCATCTGATCAGAGTCTATTATCTGTTCACATCTGATTAATGTATTAATTTACATCCTTGGAATTAACGTAGGTCAACCCCTCAGCAGCTTCTCAATGCAGTGAGGATGTTTAACATGCAATGACAATAAATCATCTTATCTTATTTGCTTTGCTGAGGAATATTTCAGTGGAGTGTCCTTTTATAAAAGACAGGTGTGTTATTGTCAGCTCTGTAAATGTTTTACATTCTCTTCAAATGAAAACAGGAGTATTACGCTTGTTTCTATGAAATGTATCATACAACTTTAAAAGTCATTAGTTAAACAAACCATGACAAACCACAGGAATATAATTCAAAACACAAACAGAGAACTCTATCCCTATATCTCTCTCTCTCACACACACAAACACACACAGAACCTCCTTTTTTTTACCTCCACTGCCACAAGCTGAATTCGTCAATTCATTAGAGGAGAAAAACACACAGTCCAACACTCTCATACATTCATCTGGCAAATGTGGCCTGAGGAATAATGATTTACTGTGGCTCATATTTCACCTGAGTGCACAGGGCAAACAGTTGACTGAAGTGTTGTGGAGAAAATGCTAACTGAGGCATTTTTGACTGGAGCAACTGGACAGATACCGTTTTGTTCCGTTTGTGGGAATGGTTTTGTATGTTTGGTAAACCTAATATACATAATATTTATTTAAAGTGTGTTGTTAAAACACACAAATATTTTATTACTCTTTTCTAAAGCTATATGTAAGTCTGTGTCACTGGGAAATGCGAGCACAGATATTGTGATGTGCATCTCTAGTGCATGGAAACCTCACTTTACGGAAGCCATTAGGAATAAAGTAACAGTTTGAAGTGAATAATCGTGTTTTGAAGCTAACCCACATGGCTGAACAATATGGGCTCTGTGTTCACACAGTGGACTCCTTTCTGTCTGTTCAGGAGTAAAGCCAGCACAGGTAGGGCCAGCATCAAATCAGTCTCAGCTGCCGCCCTGCCCTGCGTTCTCCTCCTAAAGAGCTTCCACTTATCTGCCTGCCACAGGACCGTCTGTGTGCACTCGACCACTGTCATGTCGACACCATTCTTAAATTGATTCTGACAGTGCAAGAGCCCCGATTTTTCTGCTTCAGAATTCAAGCTGCCATTTCGACGCTGGTGTACAATGTTAAGCTTTTTCTTATTTAAATTTTTTAAATATATATATATATATATATATTTTGTAAATTCCGAGAGAATGAATACAGCTTGTGTTCCAATTTAGTAACCACATATTTTCTTCAGTTTGAGTGAATGCTTGAGCATTTTTTTTTCTCCCAACGGGGGTCCGGGAAACTGGCACTCAGCAGGGAAACTTAAACAGCTCTGTTGAGTACGAGGCTCAAAGACCCTGCACATAGCAAGCGTGCAATAGAGGGCAACCTTATCTGCGTAGGCCACTGTGTGCTATATTTGTATGCATTTGACTATGTCTATAATGTACAGTATATACATACATACAGTAGCCTACATATGAAAATAGGGAAGTAATGATTGGAAGTGTCCTCAATCATGTGAAGAATGGGGACTATGCAATTTTTTTAAGGAAAAATATCTCTTTGAGGTATACAATTGTAAATGTGAAGTCTAAGTATCCTAAATCTTTTTTCTCTCTCTACCTCTTGCGCTCCGCCTTCCACCTTGCCTCCTATTATCTGCTACTTTCTGTGGTTTGGAGCCCTTCCAGCCGGCCTCCCTTTCTTGCTCTGAGATTTCATCTCCCTCCTTCATCGTTCCTGCAGATTGACAGCCAAGCTCAGGTATGAAAACAAACAGTTAGCTCTGGAATTGACTGGTGAAAAGAAATCCGCCACTAATGCTCCTTCGCAAACTCTCCTTTTTGCCTGCCCCTGCTGCTACTAAGCCCCAACAGCATACAAGAAAAGGCAGATGGAGATTTGAGATCATTAACCCTTAATAACACCATTTTTTATGTCTGGCTTAAGCAGACCACCTCAACTGGATTACTGCGCTTGTTTCTACTGACTCTTGAACCTAAAATAGTCTTAACCTCAGAAGCAAAACATAATGTAGACAAACACCCACATGTCAATAAGCTATAATAATAGATATGTCATCTGTAAGAGGTAAATGGTTGGTTGGGTTTGCAGACCTTAAAAGCAAATCTCCGATGTTGTTGATACTATTGTTTTGTTTGTTTACTGTACGTGCATGTTCACCTCAACAGGAACAAGTATTCAGGGCATGTCTGAACACAACTGCAGTGAAAGAATGTCATTCTTTTCATGGGTAAAAGCCTGGGTCAAATTCTGTTACACCGATTGTTTTTTGTTTGTATTTGTTTTCTAAGAGCAAAAATAAATTATTTCCACGCCAGTCAGATTTCTCCACTTGCCTCTGTAATAACACAATTACTGTTATTGTCTTTCAAGGTTTTGATGAACAATGTCAAAAGGTAACCTACAAGGTGCTCAGAATAATTGGTTGAGGAATGGGTGAGTAATCAGCATAAAATATGCAAGGCCACTGTGCCAGTAGGTACTGTAGTCTTTATCTGCATGCCAGCCTTTATTCTCAACTTCCTTTCATTCATTTCAAACCTACATGCCCGTTTGTCTTTTATACTGTTTAACCTTACAATTAATGGAACCTCTGATTCATCATAACACTTTAGATCTTAATCATAAGGTGTTTTCTGCTATGTACCTTTGTTTGTGTTTTAATTAGGCGGACCTTGTGCGTCTCCAGCCCTGGACTTCTTTTTAATTGCCCATATTTACATCAGGCAGACATCAAACGCAGAGAGAGAGACATTTGTAAGGGGGAGCACAAAGCAGCCCTTTGAAATGTCTACAGTCATATGAAATGGCATGCTAATTAAAAATCTAAGGGTGCCACTGTGATAGGAGACGCATTTATATTGGTAACTGTGGTGTATAGACTGTCTCCATAACTCATCAACAGACAGAGGCCATAGTGTTTATTATCAGACTCCCTACCTGTTTACAGACCACCAAGTAACCTTCCCGTTCCCATTCATCAAACAGAAGAAATGCCCTGCCTGTAATTTAACAGACTAGCTTTCAAAAGGCTAAATCATTTTAAACATTTTACCCAGTGCACTTTGATCTACAGTGGCACACAGTATACAGGCAGGTACAATGAATCTAGTTTACCAAGCAATGATTTATTCTTCAGTTCATTAAGGTTATTGCCAATGAATATACTTATTAGAAGGTTCAACAGTATTTTTTTCGTCTCCTCTATAATTCTCTGTAAGTGTAATTCAATAATTAAAACCAAACAAGTTTTATTTATGTATGTCACCCTTGTTTTCAAAAAAAGAAACAATTAAGCAAATGATCAAAATCACCTGCGCAGCAGTGAAATGAGCTCTCTTTATATGTGTGTGAATAGTCTTCACGAAATGTTAATAACAAAAACATTTTAGTCTTTTATTGAGAGATTAAATATAATTTAATGAAGGTAATCACTGGTGGGAGAGTGCAGGAGCCAGTGACAGCCTGGTGTTATCAGCCAGCTGGTATTGTGCTTTCCTGTGCAGTATAAACACACCAGCTCTCAGTAACAGTCAGTGCTCAGGACTGAGCAGCGGCCCTGCCCATCTTTGGCCCACCTTCACCCTGTCATAAACAGATTCCGGGGGAGTGCTGAGTTGCGCTTTGCCGTGCCGCAGTTGATACGCTGCGCAGGGCGTTCACTGTCAGAGTCAAGACATTCCACTCAATCGCAGGCTCACAGAGGAGACGACTCTGTGCATCGCCGCACCATCTCCTCTGCTCTCAGCTCAGCCGCGCTCTGTTTACATCAAGCACACTTTGGGTTCAACAATTACCAGAGCGGCATGAACACACTGCATGTGTCAGAGCAGAGTAGCTAAGCTCGGGGCCGTCTGAAGGGACAACAACAATAATCCACTGACAAGCACAGAGAGCCTCAAAACGAGTCTAAATGGGCTGGAATTTTGAAGACAGCAGTCTGGACAGAGTCGGGCATTCCAACAAAAGATAAGGGAGGAGAGAAATGAATGAAGAGGGCAGCCAAAGGCCTTTGTTTTAATTCAGAGTACAAGGCTGTGTCTGAGATTATACAGTACATAGATTATGTACGTCTGATAGGAATGAGGGATTTGTTAACACGAATTAAAGTGGTGTTTCTGTGTTGAAGTCCTACCTTTTACTTCTGCCAGCAGTTCACTGGTGTTGAGCCTCTCCATCTTCTCTTTCCAGTCTTTAGAAAGAAGTTTCTCCATGCATGAGGAATCTGAAGAAAAAAAATGCGTAAAAGAAAATTTAAGTCATTTCAACGACAAAATAAGTTTTGTGGATGTTATAAACCTCTTAATCTATTCACTTAAAATGAAAATGAAAGAAAGTCAGCGTATCAGATGAGAGAGGGGGATTTTTTTGGATGGTATCACACGGCGAACATTAAAAGTGACTCAGCCCGACGGCAGAGAGATGAGCTAAGGGTGGAGTGAGGAGGGAAGCAGACATTGTGGGGATAGCATAGGGACAGAGACAAACATTAAGTGGGAGACAAGGAGTGAGACTGGTTACGTCTGAGCGTTCACATAACTGCCAATGATGAAAACAATTAACATTTGTCCAGCAGACAATGAATCAGAGGAGGAATGGCTGCAATCTGCCATGCTGTCGCTGGGGTAGCTGATAAAGAACACACTGGGCCGGCTGACCCAGGCCTCCACCGTCCCTGCACTGCTCAGGGGTCAGCCTGTTCCCATCAAACCCAGCAGCACAGGCAGGCCTCCACCCCTCCACCTTGAGATGCCATCTCCACAAACTATCTGCCTCCAATCTGAACTAGATCAAGACATGCAGCTTGCAGTCCTGTTGAGTCTGATTAAAACAAGCAGCAATCATGTACAATCCAGTTCTGTGAGAACAATTAATGTACTGTCTAAAACAGCTGTTCTGGTGTCTATAGCATCTGTCCTCAGGTTTCATATAGAGCCCGAGGATGATTTGTAAAAGTGTGCTTCTCTAGATTTGGAGCAAAATGCAAAACCAAAGCAGACACACTAATTAATACCACAAAGCCCCGGGGCTCTGTAATGAATAGCCTTACCACATATCTAACAGCGGATCGCTTATGATCACACTTCTGGCAATAAAAGGACACAATTCAGAAGCATGTTAATGGTTAAAATGATGCCACATAGAGGAGGTTTTTCTCAGTTTAATGAAGCCGTCATGTGTTTTTGATTTTTTTTCAAGTTGCACTTAATGTGAAATTCAGAGAAACAGTGAGACAGACTGAGAAGGGCACATGCAATATACTGGACTCTTCCAGTTTCACTATTATCATCCTTGACATCAAACACAGAGGACATTTGTCCAGTTTAGAATGTATACAAGAGTTGTTTCCTTTAATCCATCTGTAACATCTCTTCCACAAAGCAAACACTGTTGTTCCCTCTGACAAACACTGACTTCAGAGGAACTGGGAGTAACGGAGAGGTCGGCAGTTCTTCTGGCCTTGTTTAAGAATGGCTTTCAGAGAGATCAAGCAGAGTGACCATTTTGTTTGATTGTCCACTTCCTCCAACGTGATGGGGGTCGACAGGACATCTTCAGCTCAGGGTCATTATAACATTACTTCTGCTTTATTGACTTTCCAATTCCCAACTCACAGTTTGTCCCCTTGACCCCAAGAGAGTGAGAGAGAAAAGGCTGTGTGTTGTGTGTGTTGTGTGCGTTAACTCCCTCCATAGCACAAAGATCACAGATCTTAAAACAGGGGTTAAGGGCAGGGGGAGTAGCAGAGCTCAACTCTTCTTCTCCTCCACCCCTGGGTGAGACAGCTTCCTCTCCCGGAAAACAACAAACTTCCCTCAAATCATAATCCTGAGACAGCCAGAACAACTTCAGTGCACAACATTCTCTCCCCCAAAGCACAAAAAAAGCCTTATTTCATAAGTAGTGTAAAGGGGAATTAAACAAACATAGTGAGCATATGTTTATATGCACACATATGCTCTCTCACACACACGCACACACATAAGTAAACACACACACTTTCATCACAGATGCTGCTCCAGCACTTGATCATTAAGCAATGCGCCAACTGTTGGAGATAATGTGGTGCCAGCTTCCATTCTACTCCAGTTCTCCCCCTCCTTTCCACCTCCCTCCCAGGAGAGCTGCCTCTCCCTCACTTCTCCATCCCCTCCGTCGGGCCAGACACGACCTGCCAAGTCCTCCAACAGGAAAGACTACAGCTGGAATGCACCGCTGTCCTCCCTGCCTTCCACCTGGGAGAGGTGAATGATGACCTGGATTAGTCTATAAAATAACTCTCGAACATCGTTCAGTGTTCGAACAGCGTGGACAAAACAGGCAACCAAAAATGGGTTTGGTGAAAGCAGAGCAACTTTTGCACAGGCATGCTCGGGGAAAACAGTAAATGAGATGTCTGGCTTTTTTCAAAACACCCGTCCACAGCCTATTTTTCAGAAGAATTTAGATTAATAGGAGGAATGCTATTTCAGTTTCTAAAATGCCTGTCTTTTTTTTTCTGGAGACGTTATAGATGCCAATGGAAACACTGGTTAGTATCAATGTAATAATTACTGTCAGGTTACGACACAGAGAATGTAAAAAAAAAACAATTCACTGTATTCCCCATACAACAACGTATTATTTCTAATAAAAGATTCACACTTCAGTGAGTTCACTGGATATGAAGTGCTGGTTGAATTTAAAGGCAAACATAGTTATTTCAGACAGTTAGTGCAGAACTTCTGAAGTTTTAGGGGAAGACTTTGCTGCTGTTGTTGTTCTTTCAAAGTAGGACATCACATACGGGGGAATTAGCATAAACAAGAGAAGTTTATTTATATTTTCCTATGGGGGCTCTTAAATCTCTTGCACCCCCACCCCTTCCATTTCTTTCCCTCCCCCTCTTGAGATAAAATGCTCTGTGGCTGGGGAGCAGGCCATTCAGCTGGGATGAGAATGGAATGAAAACAATAGCCCTTATCAGGCTCTTATTTACATTTTCCCAGCGTCCCTGCAGTAGACAGCTTGGCTTGTCACCAAGCCCAGATCGCCCCACTGGACCCAGACCAACTTCCTCCAGCCCGGCGATTCCAATGGTCCCTATGGACCTTTGCCTGGCACAGACCCCCACCACTCTGCAGCTAGCACAGATAGCAACATACAAGACAAAACTATTGGAGTGCGCGTCCAAGACGTGTTCCCATTGAGGGGGGAATGGTTTCTGGAGTACTAAGCCTGTCTGGGTCTCATTGTCTCTTCTCTGGGCCTGGGGCTGGAAAGCTGGAAAAATGCCCTGAACCCTTCCTCAGGATTTCTTAAGCATTTCCAAGTGGCAGTCAGAAGAAGGTGAATAGTCATCACTGATTCAACACTGGCTAATTCAATATATTTTTCTCCTATCAACGCTGTCATCTCTGGTATACAGATTTCCTGTGAAAGTATTCTGTGATCTTATTGATGTGGGTGAACAGGCGCTGGGATTTAGACACTTTAAACCGAGATGCGATGCCGAGATTAAGCTACAGCTTTTCTTTTTCTTTTTTCTTACTGTATTAAAAACAAAGCTAATGATCCTCATAAATCTCAACAAAGGAATGTTTCTAGGTTGATGTGTGACATAAACAAAGCTTTCAGCACCTGGCAGTCAGTGCTGCCAGAATATCATGTTCAGCATAAACCACAGAAGTGAAGCTAAGAGGCAGGTTAACGTTAACTGTCTGTCCTGACACCGACTGACTCGAAAATTTCCTTCCCTCTCACACACAGCATGCGCCCACTGATGTTACTCTCCGTTGTTTTAATGCAACAACTAATAATCTGAATTTGTGTTTTTTATTGTTCACACACATTTTATTAAATTGAGTGCTAGGTAGCTATAAATGCTTGTGGGCTGAGAAGCGAAGGCAGGGGAAAGTTGTTTGCTAATTTGCGTTTTTATTGCGCTCTAAACAGAGCAGTTCATTCAAACGATCATTGCAAACTGTAGAAAAGCTCAAATTATTGAGTGGAATACAAAATGGACAAATAAACGGAGCCACAAACAAATCAAATCTTGTCACTTTGGAATTGGACAGTAATAAAGCAGACCTTAAAAAATCATGACACACTAATTTTCAAATGGCTCTTCAGATTGCCATGGAGATAGGAAGTCCAGTGTGTATATTTAAGTTTGCATAACATTGCAATGTTTTTAATCTAAATTAAATTTATTGCAAACACCCCCCCCCCATCGTGTTTCAAAAGGCTGTGACTGTCTCAAAACACGGAAATGGTTTGTTACAACATGCAGTAGTTGGTGTTTTATTACTCTGTGTTGTCAGCAATGAAATCGTTTCAACTGTCTGCCACCACATTCTGAGCCTCTCTGCGTGCACTATTCTCCCGGGACGAAAGATGATACTCATGTTTGAGTGTTTGTTGTGTTGAAAAGCCGTTGGCAGAGAAAAGAGAGCTATCTAGGGGACTCAAATTAGCCATAAGTCATGGATAACAGACTAAGAGACCTCCCCTTTAGCATTGGCCTTGTATATCAGTCCCAGCCTCAAGGGAAAACATGCAATTACCAAATCAATGATCAACTGACACTGACCATATAAATAATTTCCTCCCCAGAATGCAGAGGGGCCAATACAGTATAGCAAGGCAAATAGGGAAACAATCCTCATTGCAGTGACGAGGAAATTGGGTTTAGATTTTCTAAACAAGCTTCAGCTTGAAAAGAGCACATTTTTTACAATCTGTCATAATCCAATTATAGCCAACCAAAACCTCCTCAGAACATCAAACTGGGCGTTAGGAAGATCTATGAACGGCAATAACAAAACTGAACAAATGACACAAAAAAATGCAATAATACACAAATTCAGTGTAGGGACTGCAGAAAAAGGGGAAAAAAATCTATTTACTATGAAAATGATGCGTCAACATTATTTCCTTAAACAAGATTCTTGTACAGTACATATGCAATTTGTTGACAATATCTTGAGCCTATAGAAACTGAGGTTTTAGACTTCACAGAGAGCTCTAGAAATGGTTAAACATCCTTCATCCTACAAGCTAAAAGGTCTAATGAAGTAAGAAATGGGATGAGGAATATCCACCGTTACTTGGTTTAAGACACCAATCACTGTTATTTTGCAATGATTTATACAGTCATACATTATGCCTTAATTACTCCTCTATATGATATTAGTGCTTTTTATTTACTTCACTATATTGACTGCATCATGTGATTACACATGT